TCGAATATTTTAATAGTATGAAATAAATATATTCGAATATTTTAATAGTATGGCCGGTCGGCTAGACGCTTGAAATAAGTATATTCGAATATTTTAATAGTTTAGCCGTTCGGCTATACTCTAGTATAGCCTTTCGGCTAGACATTTGAAATAAATATATTCGAATATTTTAATAGTATGGCCGGTCGGCTAGACGCTTGAAATAAGTATATTCGAATATTTTAATAGTTTAGCCGTTCGGCTATACTCTAGTATAGCCTTTCGGCTAGACATTTGAAATAAATATATTCGAATATTTTAATAGTATAGCCGTGCGGCAAGACGCTTGAAATAAATATATTCGAATATTTTAGCCGTTCGGCTATACTTTTGAAATAAATCTATTCGAATGTTTTAAACGTATGGCCGTGCGGCTATACTATTTTAAGAAATATTTTCGAATATTTTAATAGTATAGCCGCCCGGAGCGTAAGATCTGTTTTGGAAGAGAGAGGCTGAGATTGCTTTCTGCACTGCAGCGGAGGATTTGGGTGGCGTTGTATGCCATTGACTAGGGTTTTGCATGAACAAGAAGAAGACAATCGCAGCGCACTCTGAGCAGTTCGAATTAATCGAGCCATTTAGGGTTGAGAATCAAAATTTGTTAATGCTATCGTTGCTCTTTGTCTCTTCATTTTAAAAGAATTTACATAAGAATTTGAAAGCACAATCTCCACCCTCAACCACTAATCTCTCTTAGGTTAAGACTCACATCACAGGCTCATTGGAGATTAGTATAAGAAAATGAAAAAGTAAATGAGTTATTGCATTAGGTTAAGACTCACAGGCTCATCTGGTTCTATATTGTAAAATGCTAATTTAATTAATAAGGAAGGAAGAAGACAATCAGACACTCAGACTCTGATCATCTCATGCTTTTTTGTGTTTGAGACATTCTCGTAGAACAATTTGGAGTTTGGACCTAAGCCCTTAAAAACAACAACAACCTGTACATCTCACTGGTCGCCATCAGCGGCAGCCTATAGTATTATAAAAATTAATTAAGTAAAGCTGTTTCAAATTCTTGTTTTCAACAGAGCCAAGCCAACAATGGCATTCAAGGCTCACTGTAAGAAGAAACAGTCTCCACATCATACGCATCCACCTTTAATTAATTATCGCATATGTCCTCATGTAATTAAAAACCACATATATAATATTATACTTACAACTTTGTAGCTCTGTCTGTGTGTCCTGATATAGCAGCACCTTGGTTATAAATTAGTTTGTCCCAAATCATTAATACCTTTCATCCAAAACATAAACAGTATTTTTATATCCAAATATGAAAACCCAATCGCAAAAGGCAGAGAGATGATGATTATGAATTTATGAGGATGGTTAATGTCTGCATGATCAAGGAGACAAAGATGAGCACTGAATTAAATAGTTGAGACAGAGATCAGTTGGGGGAAGGGGGAGGGAGGTGCACCCAATGTTAGCCTCCACCCAACGGTAATGGGGCAGGCAGAGGGATGGAGACATGACAGTCCAAAATAAAATACGAGACACAATAAATATTATATGTACAAAATCTAATATTAATATTTTTCATATATATGCAATGAAAGATTGAAGATCATTTTGGGTCCCAGTGTAATGTATGTATCATATGACATATCCATCTCCCAAACATGACCCACAATTCCCAACAACTCCCGGAGATCTCGACCCTTACCGGCGTGGAAGAAGACGGGAAAAAGGGGGGACAATATTTGAGAGATCTTCATAACAAAATCAGAGAGAAAACGAAAGAAAGGAAAAAGAAACAAAACAAAAATAAAAAAATACAGTAAGGGTGGGCTGTGGGGGGAGGAGAGTAATGTTTGTCTCACAGAATGCGTGGGTGGTGTAATGGCTAATGGGGGTATTCAATGAGTTTTGCAGGGTTTTTGAAGTGAAGGGAGTTTGAAGGAGGAGGAGGAGGGAGAGAGGGTCCCATGCATATTAATAATTCTTGCGATGCAAATTTTTGTTTTAAAATTTTGTCTCCGGCCCACACAATGACATTCTCATTTATTTCTGCACAGAGAGAGGGTTATAAATGATAAACAGTAAGTATGTTCCAATTCATTCATTCGTTTACAAAAAGATCCCTTGTCTACAAATACAAAATTAATTGAAAGATGCTGCATGCAATGCAATGTCAATTTGTCAATTTGTCAATTTGTCAATGCCAATGAAATGCAGAGCTTATCTAGATCTGGGTAAATCTGTCATACCTAGCCGCTCTTTGTCTCTCACCCTATAATACATTGCTATGCTAGCTAGCAAAGAAATGCGCAAGTGTTCCACTGTCATGCATGCCTTTGTCTTTCTTTTACCAAAATAGATGCCCACTCAAACAAAAGTTAAATAATTTGCTTGAAAATATTTTAACTATAGCTTCAACATGGCTTGGCTCGCTCATATTATAACACGTACGTACGCATCTTATTTTATTAATTAATAATATATACTCCAATTATAACCAATGTATTAAAGAGTTTTGACAGCCAAGATATATACAGGGATGCAGCCTTATGTAGATGCTATTTGTACGTAGGAGGAGTAGTGCGGTTGTTATAGGGTCGTACAGGCATGCATGCAGATGCAGTCTTGTACAGACACCATTAGAGTAGTGGGTGAAGTCTCCAGCGCTTGATTTAATAATAACTAGCTACCTAGCATGCAGTTTGATTCCGTACATATTATATCAGTGTAAAGATGTGATTCCATTCCATGGATGAGATGAGATGATGAGAATGTAAAATGGTTATATACAATAAGATAGAGAAGATCCAGCTCCTAGAAGATATATAGCTGCGTTAAACTTGTTTTTAAATCGAAACACACAGAGAGAGAGAGAGAGAGAGAGAGAGGTTGGTGAAGGTGATAAATGTGAAAATTGACGGGTGATAAGCTAGAATTGGACTCATATGGAGGAGCGAAGTAAATGTGGAAATATATATATATATACTAAAAGTACAGACAGAAGCACAACACCACTTTAAATGAAACCCGCGCACTCCCATGGCTGGCCCAAACTTGCAATTACTCCCCTTGGATCCTGTTCGTCCTTCCACCCAGCCACCATGCATTCCAATTTGCAATTTGTTTCTACTACTTTCAAATTCAATTTATTTGTATTGTCCAGAGCCTTTGAGGTAGCACCAAGCATATTATAATTTAGATACGAACTATATTCCACATTTCCATTTCAAATTTATTTTAGTTCATAGACTGTCTAATAACTTGAAATTGCTTTTGATTTCATCCTAGGCACGCACGCAGATACCGTGTCCGCACATTGAAGGCCTATCTTTCAATTCCAATATTACATAATAAAATATTATATATATGGAAAATGAAGTATTGAATAATAATTAGGAAACAAGTGTGCAGAGTCTGAGTAGCACAGTACCCTTCGTCATCAGCCTGACTCGTCGTCATCACCCTGGCCCTCATTTTCTTGCTCAAACACATGTTTTTGTTCAATTTGTCGCATTTACATATTTATAGATTAAAGCCTTTTATACCATCATTTCCTTCACTCATCTTCATCCTTAATTATATATTCAATTTAGTACTTTTAAGGCATGTTTGCCCATGCACTCTCAAATTTTAACGATTACAAACCCTATGCTTTTCAGTTCTAACTGTTGGGTATGAACTTTTTCTCTATAAAAATATACTACTTTAATCAGCCATGTGTAATCATTCTATAATAATATATATATTTGAGCAAACTTAATTTTTAAATCATGAAGGGAAAAGGAAAACATTAGTAGTGAGTGATAATGAGCAGCCACTCTGACCAAACATTGAAGTACTATTATTGCCATAGATGTTTGCTTTTGTTTTGGATCAAAGAGGAACATTCCTCCCGTCTCTAGGCACCGCCTGCCTCAGCCTGCATATATTTATATAAAAACCATGCCATTCATTCATTCATTCATTCTTAAGGATAATTTCCCCTCACTTTTTAGAATTTTCCACTGCCACCTCTGAATATATATTTATATGGTCATTCTTTTTCATCTAGCTCTACCATACCCTTTCTTCTATTTACGTAGCTGATCGATAAAAAGGTATATACGATACAACGTTGACCAAAACCATCAATTACTGTTAGAGGACCCATATCCCCCGACCCAAGGCCAAGGTTGCCATGGTTAGGTTAGGAACAACCTTAATTCGTAAATCTAAATATAATTGAGAAACCTTGCTATACCTAACAACAACCTTAACCTTAAGTAGTCCTCTCCTAGTTAAAAATATCTTCTTTTCTATTTTATTTTCCGAGTCTTAATATTATATGCCATCAATGTCTTTGTAGTAGCTGAATTAATGATATACACCCAACGAATTAATTTTGTCATCTTCCAATTTGTGGCAAAGTTCAGTATTGAAGAAAGAACAGAATCCACCACGATATTTCCAATTTCTCTCTACAATTCTAATTATATTTTATTGGGGTTCTGTGTGCTCCACTGCTGTAAGATCCCACGCAGATATAAATCTAACGGACAGATGAAAACCAAGAAAATTGAATATACAGGAAGAAGGAACCTCTCTCTCTCTCTCTCTCTTATGCACAGTGCACAGTGCTCACTAAGCTAGCAAAGCCAAAACCAAACATCATCAGAACAAAAAAAAATAAAAAAAAATAAATAGAGGTGGATGATGGTGATGGTTTTTAGTCCCTTTCAGCAGACCCTCTCTTATTTACTTCCCCTTTTCGCAAACCTAGCTAGCTTCTTCTACATATTACTACCATACATAATAATACATACTTTTTTTCTCTCATCTTTGACGCACTCTCTTTTGTTTCTCCCTCCCTCCCTCCCTTTCGTCTTTTTCCCCGACAACTAATTCCCTTGTTGCCTGGCTTGTAGCTACTTCCATTTCCCTTTTTGTTCTTCCTTTTTTGGCTAATTAACCAAGAGGCATATAGCAAAGCAAGCAAACAAAGAGCATCCATGGCCATGGATAATGATCACGACCGTCCATCATCTGATTTTTTCCAAGAACACGAGCAGTGCTACTACAGCGACACCACTTGCAACTTAACTACTCCAGGGGACGATCTTTTTAGCATATTGGAGAGCTTAGACGACGGATTTGGATTCGGAGGAGCCATGGAATTCCCTCCGCCGCCAGCCACGGTGGCATTGGATAATGAACAACCACCGCGACCCCTTGTTTTCAGCTCATCCTCAGCTGACCAGACCGAGCTTGATGAAACCAATTCGCCCCCCAAAACCAAGAGATTGAAGCTCTCTACATCTCCTGCTTCGGGCGGCACCGCGACCACTTTCTCAGATGAAGATGGACAACAAACAAGGATGTCTCATATAACGGTGGAGCGCAACCGTAGAAAGCAAATGAACGACCACTTGTCTGTCCTGCGCTCTCTCATGCCTTGCTTCTATGTCAAACGAGTTAGTTTCTCTACCCATCCATCCATAATAGTCTTATTAATTACATCAAATAATCTAAATATACACATGTTTTTTTCTTTACATATATATTTCGTCCCTTCACTTTCAAACTTAATTACAAGCAAAAGTAGAAACCCTCCACGTACACGGTACACACCATGGCTGGCTAGCTGCACTAATTTTTGTTTTTTCGTGTTTTTGTCTGCACTATTAAGCATTAACTAGCTAGCTACTTCAAAACAGTACTAATTCATTATTATTTTATTAGAAAAAAGTGTATATATCTTATGTGTACCTATTTTTGTTGTCTGCTTTTGGTTCAGGGAGATCAAGCATCAATAATTGGAGGGGTGGTTGATTACATCAATGAACTGCAGCAAGTTCTTCAATCGCTTGAGGCCAAGAAGCAGCGAAAAGCCTACAGTGAAGTGTTAAGCAGCCCTATGCTGGCCTCAAGTCCAAGACCACCTGGTCCATCACCACCAGTCCTTAGCCCTAGAAAACCCCCTCTCAGTCCTAGGCTTAGCTTGCCCCCTATCAGCCCAAGAACCCCTCAGCCAACCAGCCCTTACAAGCCCTCTTCTGCTAGGGCTCTGCAGCAACCACCACCACAATTACCTGCCGCTGCTAATATTATTAGTAATTATCTGATTTCTAGTCCAAACATGCCCACCTCATCGTCATTTGAATTACCATCTCCTTCTTCTTCAACTACTTCCTCCCATGTCAATAATAATAATAATAATAATAATATTGACAATCTCAATGAGCTCTTCGCCAACTCCAAGTCCGCCGTCGCCCAAGTGGAGGTGAAATTTTCAGGTCCAAATGTTCTTCTCAAAACGGTGTCACTTCCGATACCCGGACAGGCTCTCAGAATCATTTCTACTCTCGAAGAACTCTCGCTTGAAATTCTTGACGTCAGCATCACCACCGTCGACGAAACCATGATTAATGCCTTCACCATCAAGGTATTTCATTTCATTTGTACCTAACCAAATTATAATTTGTTAATTAATTTCACATCCTATAGTTATTTGCTAGTTTTAGATTTTGTTTTGCAAGTTTTGCTTAGCATATATATTAATCCTGGGCGAGGATACAGTGACGATATCTAAGAAATAGTAACAAAATGTTAAATGCATAAAGGGTGATTTAGTTCAGAGGAAAAAGTACTGGTTTTGTCCTTTACATGAAGAATTCTGCTTGCAGTAATTTCATTTCCAGTTGTAAAAATTTAAAAAAGAATGAGGTATGTATGCGTACTGGATTATTGGGTGGTACCGTACGTGTACTGACTTACAGATTTAAATGCTCGTGTTGAAAACAAGGGTGGGTGGGTATCTTTCAGACATTGATTTTGTAGCTACCCCGTACAAATATATTAATTAGGATTTTGTTTTGATGAATCATGTGGGTGACTAAATTTGGAGCTGCTAATGATTGGGATGTTGTTTCTTGCTTTGTTGCTAGATTGGAATTGAATGCCAACTTAGTGCCGAGGAACTGGCTCACCAAATTCAGCAAACATTCTGCTAATTGCATGCCCCATCTACGTACCTAACAATCTCCCCATTGCTATTTGCTGCTAATAATAAAACAGAATGTGGGAAACGCTTTTTTACCATATTCTTATTAACAAATATGTAATTCTAGGATCAGATCAGTAATTACTTGTTTTAGCTAGCTAGGGTAACCCTTTGTTTAATGCATCTTCTCTTGGTCTTAATCAATTTCGTGTATACATGCATACATGAATTTCAATTTCACTTTTTCTTTTTCTTTTTCTTTTTCTTTTTCTTTTTCTTTTTTATGCCTAGGACCAAACTCTAAAAGAAGATATTAGACTTACAAAAGCATTGCTCATCAATCAGGTGGGCCAATTTGCCTTCAAATTTCATTCCTATGGTGGTTATGTAAGAGCGACATGTTTGAGGCTGGGAAACATGTGCACGCCATGGACCGCACGTCTTCAACACGCCCAAATTTCATCTCGTCTCATTTTCCCGGAATAAAAATTTGAACCACCACCAATTTTACTTTTTCTGCTGGGTTTCTTTCTTCTTGTCCATTTGCAACGGAGTAGGAAAATGTAGGAAATGATAAATAATTTTTTTTATAGAAAATAAAAAAATAAAGCACAGGAATTGAATGGACTGGTGTGAACCGTATGGGCCATTTGAAGATGTCTTGGGCCTGCCATATCTACAATGCATTGGGTCGTGCATGCGAAAAGAAAAGACGTTGTTTCCGAAACGGCCACTGCACGATTAGACGTCCCGTCGCGATTGGGCCTTTGTTGTTCGGATGCGTAGAAGACAATTCTGATGGACCCTTACGTGAAAATGAAAAACGCGTGAATCTCTGATATGCGGACTAATTAATAAGAAAAAAGACTCATAAAAAGAGAATATTCAGTTAAAATTGGAAAACAAAAAATATATATATAGATATCAGCTTTTTTGGGTCTCTTAACGGAAACGTTTCAATCAGACTACTTAGCGGATGTTACAAAGTTTAATTATGTTGGCTCTGGAAATGCTAATCTATTTTGGGAAGGAAGCTAATAGCTATGAGGAAAAGAAGCCTGGACCGTCAAATGAGAAGTTGGGGCATAAGTTTTGATCAGCCTGACCAAATGGGAAACCCAAAGCAGCAGGAGAGTTGGCTGCTGAAGTAGAAGATGAAAGAATCTCTGCAATCTCACACTCAGCACCCTGAAAACCTTGGCTGCCTCCTCCAAAGCCCTGCTCTGAAGCTGAGAAATACTGTGTTCCAGAAGTTGCAGGGCCCATAAATGGAGGAGAAAAATCACCAGCGTCTAAGCCTTCAGTTACTACTGTAAGGCCTTGTGGGATGGCTAAGAGCAAGTCTTGTGGTTGCTGCTCATTCTGTTGAGGGTCCACTATGTCCATGCTATTCTGTGGAGGAGGAGGAGGAGGAGGAGGAGGAGCGCTGGTTATGCTGGTGGAGGCTTGTGTACATGTGTGCCTTCCTCTGTAAGTAATTTCGAAGACTGTTGGGTCCTCATCGGAGCGTTGCACTTGCTTTGTGGCCGAACAGCATTGAGCATTCCGATGAGTGCATCTGTAATAGCCTCTGCCAAGATCAACAATCTAATGTTAATATGCAAGTTGCACATTGGTTGAGTTGACCAAGTCACAAAGGGGTTCTTTAATGAAAATGTTCTGCCTGGCCTACCTTGGATATTTGGCTCCAAGTATGTCCTTTTGGCCATATTTCCTCCAGCTGAAGCCATCATCAAGAGGCCCCTCAAGCCCTATACCTGATGTAATTCTTATTTGTTGTGTCCACCTTGGCAGAGTTTTCCTGCAACATTTATGAAAATTCAAAAATTAACCACCACAGAATTATCATCTCAATCAAGTACTGATAAACCAACAAAACATTATCATGACAAACTACCTCTTCCTGGACGAATCTTTGTTGTCCTGGTCCTTGAATTCGCGATCCGAGTCTTCACTCCGGGGACTTCCATTGAGAGAAGGTGGGGGGGACTCAATCATTCGAATCGCAGCATGACCTGTGGGCAGTTGTTGCTCTCCCCCTGAGGCTGGGCTGCTAGAATTGAGCATGGAAAGTGCCTTTTCGTATGAAACTATGATTTTTTGAACCAACGATTCCCGGGTTCCATGAGAGGAAGACGGAACATTGAGATGGATCTGGAGTTGCCTAGCTAGCTCCCTGCCTTGTGCGAGCTCATTTATAAGACTCATTTTCTCCCCATGCGTATTGCAGTTCTCCATTTGTTCATACACTATATTAATGGACGCAAACAGTTTGTGATCAACTAGCAAGCAGCGAAGACCTGAAATCTTAATTGCAAAGGATATGCTAAATTAGGTTATGTGGAGAAGCATGAGAGATTGGAATGAAGTTATATTATGACCAACCAACAGAAAGCATGGGAATTTAACCAAAACAAGAACTGGGTTTTCAAGAATTGCAAGTAAAATGTGTTTTTCTCCCCCCCTATAACTAGAAACAGACTGAAAATCGAAGGTTGATTCAAAAACTACCCAAAAAGGAAACAGAGACACGGATTTCTAAGAAGGGTGTGCTTAGTTTTTGTGTGTAATTTGGATTATTTGATGTAGTTAGCAAAGGAGCGAAGATGAAAACTTGATGAGGAAGGAGAGGGAGAGATGGTTATGGGATTTTAAGGGAAGCTCTGTTTTTGAATCTAAGAAAGTGAGGGAAAGAAAGAATAAGAGAAGTTTGACTGAGAAAATGTGAAAGGATACTTTCTTCATGGGAGACCAGTCTTTGGTCATAGAAAATGGAGTTTCAAAGGATTCATAAGAGTAAGAGGTCCAATTGCTGACCATTTCAGCCTTGTGCTTCTCCTTCACATAAGCCAACAATAAACATCAATATTATTGCTCTCTCTCTCTCACTTTTGCATCTGATTACTGGAAAAAGAAGAAAGTCAACTATTAAGCAAAAGAGGTAGGAGACCAAAGAATCTTCAAACTTAGCTCCGCGTGTTAGAGCATCCACAGTGAGAGGGTGTATTTTCGGGGGTGTAAAGCCAGTTTTACATCTTGTTTATACCTTAAGGAGTTGTAAATATGATTTTTGCTCTAATGAGGAAAATATAAATCTAAAGATGTATAATTGATTTCTTTCACCCTTTTTGTTGTAAGTCCCACTTTTGTCCACTTTTTCTCATATTTTCTCATATAGGTCTCATCTGTAAGAGATGTAAAAAAAGATGTATATGTGCATCTAAATTTGCATCTCATGGCGATGATGCAAATTTAACTCGTTTATACCTCTCCATTACAGATAATTCTGATTATAAATGGTGTATATTCCCTTTCATTGTGGATGCTCTTACTAAGTTACTACTAGTCCTCCTACCAGCCCTACCCCTGATCTGAATCATCTGATAGCCACTAAAAACAAGACAGATTTGATTTTACTGAGATTAAAAAAAAAAGGCCATGACATACTGTTGACGTCAGCTTCAAAGCTTTGCATACGTTAACGGTTCAAACTAGATTGGATCTCCTATGTTTATTTGAAGAAGAGACAAAGAATAGGCTGAGTCAGACCCAAAGCCCAACAAAGGAAAATGATAATCTAGTAATTATTTGATTAATAAGTGAAAACAGCCGGATTGTCACAGAACTAGGTACCGTATTTTGCGTGCCTTATTATTGGTGTGAAGAACGGTCGGTCATGTGTGTCAATCTCAACTTATAATATGAGTGGTGATTTCTCCACTTCAATTTTATCCACTTATATTTCATTTTATAATTAAAAAAGAGATTTTCTATTTAAACCCCACACTTCTCTTAGTTCACCTCATGTTCTAAGTTCACCCCAACTTTTAATTTAAATTTTCAAAATTTCCAAGAAAACCCCACTATCTTCCCAAACTACCCTTAAATACACCCCAAACTGAAAAAATAAGAATTAAAAGAGATTTTCTATTTAAACCCCACAATTTTCTTTGTTCCCAACAAAAAAAAACACAAACAAATGAAACCCTAAATCCGAAATTTAATATCTAGAGGAAGAGAACAGCTTTACCTCTCTTCAAGGATTGTAACTGGAATTCTAACACTTGGGTATTGTTGAGTTGAGAACTTGAGAGAGAGAGAGAGAGAGAGAGAGAGAGTTTGTAAACAGGAAGTTGGAAGGATGTTTCTAAAACTTAATATGAAGAGTGGTGGAGTGTGTGGGGTGTGTGTACTAGGGTTAATTATTAAGTTCGATGACCTTTTTTGTCTTTTTACACAATAATAAAACTTACAGCTTAATGATTTAAGTATTGGGGTGAACAAAGAGAAGTGCGGGGTTTAAATAGAAAATCTCTTAAAAAAAAGAGTATAAGTGGATAAAATTGAAGTGAGGAAATCATTACTTATAATATTTCATTATCTTAATTTGTGTTCCATTAACATTAATGGAAAGCGAGCACAACATGGTTGAAACAAAACAAAGCAGTGCTAAGTGCTCCAGTCTCTCACGCGTTGATCAATCGTGTTGAAATTTGAAACACATGGTTAATTGAACATCTTCTTTCTAAACTATTTGGGAACTTAATCAAGTCTGATGCATGCACAAACTACTTTTATTTTTTATGTTTTTTTTTTTGGTCGAATTTTGTTTTGTATGGTTTAGATTCTCTCTTATTCAATTTTACTTATAAGGAAGCAAATAGTGTTGCATAATGACTTGCTCGATTTAATTTGCATAATGTGGACTATTTTATTTGGTTGGAGGTGTCCCTTAATCTTATTCACAACGTCTGATTATGTACTGATTTACTCGATTTGATTCGCATATTTTATTTGGTTGGAGGTGCTCCTTAATCTTATTCACAACGTCCTATTATGGATGCTAAATTGTACAAAACTATTATATATATATATATATATATATAAACAGTATCATGTTGGTCCAAACCTTGAACCCTGTTCTTATTCAATATAATGACTTTCTGAGGGTGGTAGTTAAAATCCACTTTCAATTTACTTTGACGTGATGATAAAGTGAGGAGGGTGACAATCTAATTAAAGACTTAGTAAGCATAAGACCTTAAACAATTTATATATTATATGTCTATATACATTAATTCCACCGAGTGTCCTGCTTTTTCTTCAACTGACACGGACAAGAATGAACCCATAACAACCAACGTACAGTGTTTAATTTTCTTTTGCTACATGTGTATAGGAACCATTCAAAACAAAAATTTGACCAATTCAAAAGGAAATTCAATGATTGGGGCTTAGCTAGCTCTATGACTCTATGACTCTATGATTCTATGACTATGTGAAATGGAAGAAGGAAGGGGACTCTAAAAGTGAAGCTGAGTGTGATGCCCCGAAACTGGAGAGAATTTGCAGTGCACAAGTCCAGGTGATACGTAGCCGCAAACTCATACTGTCTCTTCTACAACCTCCTTCTAGATGATGAACTTTATATGGCCAAGTTGTTGACCGAAAGATTTTTATTAGTTTAGCCGCGTGGAAATAGTAGGACCGTCCCATGTGACCTTTTCCATTCCAACATTTTTATTATTTGAGTCAAAGGGGGAGGTTTAGGTTAATTTGTATATTAACTTTACAAGGATCCACGTGGAGGACATGTACACTTATATTTATCTCATAGACTATGTTAACTTGTGAAATCTCAGTAATCAACGTAACAACCTTGACCATTTAATGGTTAATAGGATGGGGAAGATTAGGATAGCCTAAGTGATAACAAAAGGAAAGAACAAAAGTGCGATAGGAAAAGTTCTTTGATTGATGATGCAGAGAGATTATCATATATGAACAATATTATTCTTTAGTCAAGGGAATTATGATCACTCTCGATCGTCAATGGTCGGCTCTCCGTTTGCTCGGATTAGGTATGCGGGTGACCGGCGTTTTAGTCGGGGTGTTTACTGGTCGAATCACAAATGGGTGATCAATCGTCGGTCTGGCTAGAGTACCCATACTCTTAATTGAGTGGTTGGCTTTCTTAGGTGTGCTATAAAGTTAGATCCTACATTGTCGTGTGTGTGTTGGGTAGACTGTACTCGGTTATTTTCTTATGTCAATAGAATCTTTGATTTTTTTAAAGTTTATAAGGATTCTTAATCTTTCTTCCGCGACTAATTGTATTGGCATATTCTCAAAAATTGCGAAGTTGAGAGGAAAAAATGATTCTATCAAACTTTTTGTTAAGTGTTGAGAACATCACCCTCTCTGGCTCTTCCAATGCACATTAACGTTCAACTTGTGCAATTTGCGTTAAGATTATGAACAACACACAACCCACCCCAAACACGGGAGCTTCTACAATGAGGAGTTAAAGTGGGGAGGTTATTTGAGGAGACCAATCCGACCGTCAAAACATTTAAAATATTTAAGTCCCATGATTTCTTTACATTTGTTGATGGTGAGATTTGACATCCTCAAATAACCTCCTCACTTTAAGCCCTCATTATAGCCTTTCCGCCCCAAACACTGCCTTAATTCAAAATGTGCAGGGTCGTTTGGAATTGGAAGTTAGATAGAGGCCCAATCCCGATTCATGGGCCCATCTCGTTAGTCTAATTTTGGGCCTCTTTTAGTGAAGAGGGGGCCGAAGCCCAAACTCATTCTGGGCCTTTCGGTGATAATTCTATTTTTCTTTTCTCTCTTTTTTTATTTTATACTTTTATAATTTCGAAACTAAATTAACTAGTATACTCAAGTAGTCAAGAGTTGTGCCTCTACACTCGAGGTCCTATATTCAAATTTCACATTCCATAATATTGCTTGTATATAAAATAATAATAATAATAATAAATAAATAAAACTACTAACTAATTTTTCTGTTAAAAGAACAAGTAGTACAGAAAAATTAGTATATAGTTTTTTTATTTTTTATTTTTAAGATACAGTATGGCTGATATTGAGCAACGTAAAGACGCTGAAGACCACCACGCTTAAGTAGGTCCCACAAATTACAAAGAATACCACAACGAATAGGAACCAGCCCATGTGTCACCAACTTCATCCACAGGCTTCCGCAGATATCTTGTAGTCCAATAAGGACCCGCCACGCCAGAGCTTCACAAAGATCATTCTCTGCTCCAACACCACCCACGTCACCATACCAGCCTTCTACGATGTACGTGTGCAATTGTCTGCCGTGGCGTTGAAAGACCAGTAAAGTCCCAACCGTTGATTCTGCAGAGTTGTAATTTGTGGACACCGTAATTCGCGTGTTTACGTTATTTAAGTCTCCAACTTTCGTTGTTACCAAAAAAGTCTCGAACTTTCTTAATTCTTACTCCGAGATTGTCCCAAATTCTCGTCACCGGATCGTTCGGGCATTGTTTTCTGCAACAGAGGTATGATTGTTTGCAGTGGGTTATGTTTGTGTTCCTAGAAAAACTGTGATACAAAGTTTGACACTTCGCCTGCATTTCTTTGTGTTTTTATTTTTATTTTTATGTGTTTCATGATCAGTAATGTTCTGAAATTTTAGTTGGTTTCTTTTCTCTTTTGTGCTGATTTATTTACTGCTTCTTAGATGAATTTTGAAGTGTCTCTATCGCACAGAACAATGAGTTTTGATAGTATTGGTAAACAAAATGAGTCTAGTTTAGTACCTCACTCTCACTGTGAAGTTTATTCGATCAAAACTTATATGCTTCCGACTTGATGAAGAGATCGGAATTAGGAGGATCAACTTGAGCTTATTAAGCAGGATTCACTTCTTAAACAGTGTTATTAGTGGGCTATAATATGAGGAAAGATCATATGACAGCTCTGCTAACAATAAGTAACAATGAAGAGTTTATTTGTTTATTTTCATATTTTTAGTAATTGTAATGTGCGTTTGTACAAGAAAGGGGAAGAGCTTAAAATGGCTGCATTTCTTTTTGTGTGGTTGCAGAATTTGTGCATAAAGAAAGCTCTGACTCATCACAAAGACTTTTTCTGAGGCAACTTGGCATGGGAGTTGTGACGGTGTCTAGCTCAGCTTCAAGGACTCCATTAGGATTGAGCACGAAATTGACAAGTCAGAGATCTACGTTGAGAAAGCCATTGATTGTTGCATTTAAAACAGATGAAGCAAATAAGACCGCCTTGGTTGCACCCCAGGAGAAAATACCATTGCCTATAGAAA